AGCCTTCAATAAACTCATAGAACGTGAGACGTAGAAAGTCCTGGAAGCTGAAGGCCAGGAAATGCACAGGGACAAGGGGTGTAAGTGTGTGCAATATATATACTGGTCACTTGAGAACAAGACGGTGTTTCATGTAGTGGGGGGGGCACAGAGAACAATCCTAGATCTACAACTAGACCATCCTCCTAGTTAGAAATCATAATGGCCTAGCCAGCCACAGGGAGCCACCACTAGCTTCAGCAGACTACGTCCCTCTGCCTACACTTTTTCCCTGAGTTATTCCGTGCTCCTTTTAAGAGTTCACATTGGAGTTCATTCTCAGCCTTCATTACGTAATAATCTACTGGCATCGGGGATCTTCCTCATCAGTAGAGTTCTCACTTCAAAAACGAAATTGAATATGAGAGACTTTTTTGGAGTGACGAAAATGGTTTATATCTTAATTGGGGTGAGGGTTACATGAGATTTTCCATTTGTCAAAATTGGTTGAGATTTGTGCATTTTCAACCTATATAAAATTTGCCATAAAAGATTTTTTTAAATCTTACAAAAAAACAAGTTTAAGGCAGGGAGTAGATGGAAAACACTGATACTTATTGAAGCTGGATGGTAGGTATATGAGGGTTCATCATCTTTTTATTTATTTTACTTCTGTTTACAAACTTCCATAATAAAAAATTAAAACAAGGAACAACAGAAGGACTAAAACCAATCTTAAGCAAACTAGTCCAGAGCTTAACTCTTAAGGATTATAAACAAAATCTTTTAGGGAGAGAGTAAGGCGGGATAAGGAACACACGAGCCAGAGAGAACAGGCAGCATGCTCAGACAGTCCTTGAAGTTCACAGACAATAGATGGCCTAGGACACCTCCAAAGCCCCAAATCCACTCTGCCAGCTGCCCAGGGGCCATGAGTCTATCTGCATGATCCAGGCACAGGCCTGGGCTTCTGGGCAGAGTACAACATACACATTCTAACACTACACTGCTGTGTAGTGTATATAAAGAAACATGTTTTCTATCAGAAATTAAAACCTATACTACAATGTTACTTTTTTTGGACAATTACTATTTTCTTAATAGTTTCGATTTTTTGACACCTCAGTCTTGACTAGAAATAAAAGGGAAAATTATATATTTTAAAAATTCAATATGGTATTTTGAAAGATGAACTGCATCAAATCCCTGCTTGCTGAACCAGTTTATAAAGTTCTAATATTTGCACATACACCTCAATGCATTGGCCTATTTCATGGTGAAGAGCCTAGCTAGAAAGAGAAATCTAGCTGCGGAAAGAGAACGATAACATCAGCAGGTGGCAAAGAGACACTGCTCCTAGAAACAAATAAAATATCTTCCCTGCTTAACCATTCTCTTACCTTCGGCCTGGATCCAATCGTCCGTGAGGGCCCCGAGCAGGAAATCTGTTCAGGTGGCTCAGATGAAGTGTGTGGGATGTTTGGAAGAGACTCAGAGCTGCAGAGAAGAAACGGCTGGTGACTTGCAAATCCTAAATATCCACCCAACTTCCCTGTCCCTTTCTTCCAGTGACAGAAGTACCCACTTCTATTCTGGGAGCAACACCTGAGAGTTACAGGCCCATTCAGCCAGAGGACCCTGTAAAGCCAAATCCCAACCTCCACACCACTGGTACGCACGCTTCTGAGGAAAGAGCGGGGGAATCCGGTGAGGCTGGAAGATCAGCTGGGGCTGAGCTCCCAGAATCCCTTGCTTCTGGCCCAGGGCTGCCACGTGTAGTAGGGGAGGTGCTGGGGATTTCAGCAGGGGCTGCAGAACAGTAACCAGGAAAGTCAGGGTGTCCCATAGTTGGCCTGCTCACCACCTTGGAAAGATGCAGCCCCACCCCTCAACAAAAGTAAGGTTCTTGCCCAGCTTTCAGGCCACAGGGGCTTCCCTCCCTCCCCTTTCTAATGCACATGCTGAGGAAAGATGAATACCTGGTTGGAGAGCGTTTGCACCTTGACAGCATTCCAGGGCACTGCCTGGCCTGGGTTGTATGCAGCCTTCACCAGCACCTTCTCACCCAGCTGGGGCAGCCGGCCCTTCACCACACTGCCAGCACACAAGCCAGGAGACCCAGTCAGGAGAGAGACCCTGGCCAAGCCACCTTGACTGCCCCTATGAGGCCCTTCCCATCAAGATTTCTCACACCTTGCATAAAAACAGCAAAGCAATGGCTTTAGAGGGGTCCCGCCAGCGTGGTGACAGAACTGAACTGAATAAGCATTTCCAGAAGGGGACTAACCTCAAGCCTACCTTAGCTGAAAAAAGACCTCTTCATCCACCACCCCAAAGTAGTCATGCAAGCTGGTAACAATGCCAGTGAAGACCCGCTGCTTCTCCCCACCCTGTAAGAGAATAGTGCAGTTTGAAAGTCATAGAGAGCATCTGTCCACACTCTGCCGTTAGCGTCTCCTCTCCAGCTGAACCGCACCGGGTTCAACAGAGCACTGCATCAAGGTTCACGTGAAGGAGGCATACGTGTGTAGTAGTTATAATTCTGTTGCGGGGGCGTGGGAAGGGGGATGGATCACGCTGATTCTGAGGTCATAAGCTTCCAGGATTTCCAGTTCTCTAATTCCAAGAAGCACCCTAAAGACTCCCCTAGAGCCAGAACTTAGGGGTGTCTAGGCACCTCCATCCTGGCCCAGGCCAAGAGTGTCAGGAAGGATGAACATAGCGATGCAAGAATGAAAGCACCAGGCACCCATGCGTGCTGGGATAGTCTCAAGCGTTGAACCTCACTAGAAAAAATGGCCAACCTACCTGAAGGTGCCTGGCATTTTGGGACAGGTCTGTGGCCACAGGAGGAGTGAGCAAACCAGGAGGAGGGCCCAGAAGAGATGTTGAAGCTGCGCCTATGTGGACAGAGAAGCAATCTCCAGGAGGTGCGCCTACCGTTTTGAGCACCAGAGTCAGCCAGAAGATACCGTAGACCCAAAGGACAAAGTGGCTCCAACCAACTCCTCCACTGGGTTGGAGGGTTTCACTGACCACTGCTGTGCTCATCTCCTATTTTCCTACTAAACGCTGGCAGTAAATGACACTCCACCCGGGGTAACCCCAAAAGCCACATTTTAAAAGACTATCTCCAAAGCTCACACTACTCAGTATGAAGCCAAGCAGGGATAAAGGTGGTCACCTGAGAAGTTGCGTCCCCCTGGAAGCGGGTTGATCCGCTGGCGCTTAAACTGGGACATTGGGAATGCTGTCCTCTTTCAGAGTCTTAGAAAAAAAACCTTTAATCGAAAAAGAAGTTAAGTTAACAGCCTAGAGGGAAATTTTCCATCGACCTCCCCGCAAAAGTAACATCTTAATAGAGGTGAGATGGGTACCGAAAACGAATGGAGGTGGAGAGAACATGAAGAGGAGCAGTAAACGAAAAAATTACATTGTTCCAGTATGCCCTCACAATAAATTGGTGGTGGGTGATACTGTCAAGCTATTTGAAAGAAAAGGAAACTGAAGCTCAAAGACATTAAGAGACTTGCCCAGGGTCACAGAACCAGTTAGTGACAAAACTGAGACTCGCACCCAGGTCTCCCAACAACTTAGCGCTCCTCTCACGACGCCGCACCACCCGCAGATGCTTGGGGAGACGGGGGGATTGGAAAGAGCCCCGGTGACATTCATTCATTCAAACACATCCGCCAAAATGCTCCACGCAAGGCCCGGAAAAATGGAGGAGGCTGGTGCCGGAGGGAAGGTGTGGGCCCTCTCCCCGGAAGCCCGGCCCGTTGTTCCCCGGACGGGCTGGTGTGAAGGTAGCCCTGTGGCTCGGCCGAACGCGAATCCGCCAGCGCGCCCGCCCGCCCTCCTGCTCCCTGGGCCTCCGCTCCCGCCTCGGCAGCTGCCGGCACCGGGCCTCCCGGGCCGGGCCGCGGCGGGGCCACCGTGGGAGGACGAAGGCGCGCGGTTTCTCCTCCTCCCGCCCGCCCCCAGGGCCGAGGCCGTTGCCAGGGAGACGGGACTTGCAGTCCGAAGGGGGGCTCGGCCCCTTCCGCGGCCCGTGCATCATTGCTGCCCGGCCCTCGCAGCCCCTCGACCGGGAGAGGGGCGAAGGGGCAGAGGGGCGGCAGGGGGCCCCCCAACCCACCTGCGGGCCAGGGCCGCGACACCGGGGGGACAAAGACACCCGGAACCACCACAGCCGCTGCTGCCGCCACCACCGGAAGCGCCTCTCCGGAAGCGCGACCACTGGTCGGAAGCTGCCACTCTCCCGGATATGGTCCCTCCCTCCTCTCCACCGACTTCTCCCTTCCCCCAACACCCGCCTGCCATCCCGCTCCAACTGTGGAACGGAAATGCACCTTCCCCGATCGTATGCGCGTGAGGAAGCTGGGCCTCCGTGGTGTCCTCGTTTAAGTGTCCCATTAGAAAAGTAGGCTTTAGAGATTTGGTTCCTTGTCCAAAGACAGCAGGAGCTGGACCCCCAAATAGAAGAGAGCACCTACCACCCCACATCTGGCCTCATTCTGACAGACCCCAGGGCTGCAGCCGCAAGAGAACCAGCCCCTCCTGAATAAAGGAGGAGGGTGCCTGATCAGGGCCATTTCTAGGAGGCAGTCCTGTCAGATTCAAGCCAGCGACCTCATCCCTAGCCCTGCCCTTCCATTGACAGCATCCCTACCCCACCCCCCCCCACACACACAACCTCCCCTCCTGCCCTCTGAATATCTACAGGAGACTAAACTTTTGCCCTTTCTCAATTAGCTAGGAACCTGCCAGACTGTAGTAAATAAACCACCACAACATTTTAGTAGACATTTATAATGTTCTCAGAAATATTTCCTTCAGGGCCACCTGGGTGGCTCAGTCAGTTAAGCATCCAACTCTTGCTCAGGTCATGGTCTCACGTTTGTGGGCTGGAGCCCTGCATCAGGCTCCGCTTGGGATTCTCTCTCTCCTCCCTCTCTCTCTCTGTGCCCTTCACCCCACATGCACATGCACTCTTGTGCTATCTCTCAGAGTTTCTTAAAAAAAAAAAAAAAAAAAGGAAACATTTCCTTTAGTCCTCACAAGGCTGGAAGGTAAGGTCAGGAACTGGTGCCCCAATTCCCAGGAAACCTGAGACTTCAGTGAAGTGACTTGCTTCCAGTCTTGCTGCTAATCACTGGCCAGTTTAGTCTCCATTAGCTACTCCAGTACTCCCTTATCCTCTGGCCTTCCCATCATCCTTCCAGCTTGGGTTCCTTCCAACACCCATACCCTTCCCCTGCCTGTTCACCTAACATTCACAAAGCACTCTGAGACAGTTTCATCTCGTTTTATCTTCATAAAAAGACTGTGAGGTAGGTAGGTAGGGCAGTTATCATTAGGCCATTTGGGAGATTAAGTAGGAAGCTATGGCTCAGAAAAATTAAGGGATTTTGTCAAGGTCTAAAAGCTAGTATGAGTCTCTGGTTTCAGCTCGGATGGGTTACGGTTATTAGGGACCAAAGCAGCTAAAACAGACCTTGAAGCTCACTCTGCTATTCTCCATGTTTTCCCTGACCTTTCTATTCCAGGTGCAGTCTTCAGGGGCTCTGCTCCACAGGGAAGACTCAATGCAGAGGAACCCAAGAGAGCTCCCATCTCTGTCCCAGGGCTGCCCATGAAGATATGAGGAGGAAAGCAAGACTCCAAATCAGGAACTGCCCTCTGAGGAATGAATGTCAGTTCCATCCTCTGCCACACCCAGGCGGACCCTTTGAATGCATAATTCAGAAGACATGGTTGGCCCCAGCCAGTCCACAACAGTGAGACTTGCAGAGATACACGTATCATTTTGCATAAATACACATCTGCGACATGCTAGGCCCCAGTAGATCACCAGGCCAAACACGCCCCATGGACTCCTGGCAAATAAGTTAGTTCACATTGTCTAGGCCCAGGGATTCCTGGCAACCAGCAAGGCGCCCAGGGGCTGCCGCACCCTGGGGCTCTCGGGGGACAGGGCTCCTCTGCCAGGCTGCCCAGAGGAGAAAGGTCCAGCCCTCTCCTCAGAGAGAAGGGTGAGCATCAGCAGCTTTTCCTGGCAGTGCCCAGAAACAGTTAACAGGGCAAAGGGCGAGGAAGGTGACTTCACTGCATAACCCTCCACCCAGGGTCATGTCCCTGCACCAGGAGGTCTCAGCATACAGAAAGGTTTTTGGCTCGTTGCTTCTTAACCACAAATGATGGCATAAAGGTCTTCCGGAGGGGCTGCCATGGAGGTCTTTCAGAGACGCCCCTTGACTCCATCCTGTGAAAAAGGAAAGGAAGCGTTAGGCCAGGAGGAGGAAATGAAGGTAACAATGGCCCCAGAGTTGATGGAACATTGCTAATCTGCCCCAGGGAGCCAGGCGATGTTGACGTGGTGCTTCTTAACCCCACAGAATTATTCCACATTATCCCCCATCATCTACTGTGGAATCCTTTGCGTCCCAACCTTGCTCTCCCAACAAATCTGGGAAGTGGCCTAGGGTTCAGCTGTGAGGGCTGAGGTCTTTTGCTGGGCTTGCATGAGGGGGGAATTTCCCATGTTCCAGTCCGGGCTCTGTCACTGACTCACCGTGCATGGAGACTCGGGAAAGCAACTTCCTCCTCCAGCCCAGTCCCCATCCTCCTCATCCGTAAATGGGACGCTTTAACTACTTTCTGTTTCTTCCCCCCTCCCTCGCCAAGACTATCTACAACTCTCAGATTTCAAAGAGACAAAAAACAACAACAACAACAAAAAAAAAACCCACCCACAGATGGCACTACTATCTCAGTTTTTTTGCTTCATCAGGCTCCTTCCTTTGCCCTAACCTGGGCTGGGCCACAGGACTCACCTTGGGGCAGGGCCATCAGGAGGGGCAGGGGACTCAGAGTGTTTTGAGCTTCTCCAACGGATCCGGTTGAGCAGGACCTTGACCTTGTTCCAGTGGAAGAGATCCCGCTGAGCATAGGGTGAGGGGATCACACTACAGAGCTCCTCCCCACAACATACCCCTGACCAAGCTCCCAGAGATAGCAGTCACCTCAACTAGGACTGCTGCAATCAGGAATTCTGTCATTTTCCCAGAGTTTCTGGCCTTCAGGGCATCTACAAACCCAACCACCCCATATCCCCAACTCCACCCTATTACCTGCCTCCAGAAATACCCATCACCTACCTTGTGTCCCTGGGAGGATGGGAAGATATGAGCTGGCTCTGCTGAAGCTTCTAAAAGCCTGTGAGCGTTGGCACTGGGAACCCCTACCTTTAGGAGTGAAGCTGGTTTTGCCCCTTCAGAAAGAAAATCAGATTATCCAGGGCCAGAAACAAGAAGCCACCCATCAAAACCAGGGCTCAGGAGGGCTGCCTGGGCCGGGGCGGGGTGGGGGGGGGGGGGGGGGAACAGCGGGTGCCTGGGTAGACAAGACACATAGGGAAATACAATTGCCCCTCACCTATCTCCTGGGTCTGGCTGAGCAGTTCCTGCACCTCACTGCCTGGGGCACAAGAAGGTGGAGGTGAAGGGGCCAGGGCTGGTGGCTGGTGCTGCCCCTCCTCCTCCTCCTCCTTCTCCTCTGCTTCAGGATCCTGTGCACAGGAGAGACGGGTACTCAAGACGTGACTAGATGGCTGAGCCTGTTCTGAAGGCAGCCCTGGTTGCAGGGGTCTCAGCCCTCCTCTGCCTCCCCCACTCACCTGCGGCTCACTCACCCCTGGGGGCCTCTGCATCTGCAGCTGCAAGTAGAGCTGCTGGAGCCTTGCCATTTGTTCCAGCACCAGGCACAGGTGTTCCAGATAGCGGAGCCCTTGCCCTGGGAGACAGGCCCAGGCCTCGGGCCCCAGGCCCCCGACCTGTGGGACAGAGTGAGGTAAGGAAGACTTCTGGACTCAAGGAGACTCCCATCCTAGGCAGACGGGAACAGAGAGGCCAGGGAGAGGACCCCCCCCTCCCCCCCCGCGAACTGGCTCCCCAGTGCCTCCATACTGCCCATCTCCACACAGCTGCAAGTGGGCTGAGGCAAGAAGCCGGGACACAACCCATCAATCAGAGGCAAGGAATGCCCCACCCCAAGAAAGCGCCAAGGAGAACAGGTCAGGGAGGCCCCACCAGCCAGAAACCCACCCCTCCGTGTAAAAGGCCCATTTGCATCGCTATCTTCACCCAGCCCTGAGAGTTGGTACTCACCACCTCTGCTCCTTCCAGGCCTGCCTCTGGGTCAGTTTCTGCCTCAGTGGCCTCCTGTTCCCCTGCTCCAAAAAGGGGCATTTCCAATTCAGGCTCGATTGGTGGCTTCAGGGAGTAGGGGTGTTGTGACATGCTGACAAGGGAAGTCGGGAGCTGGCGGGACCGCTCCAGCACCTGCTCCAGCTTACAGTTGGCCAGGAGCCGGCCTAGGTGGGCAGAAGGCTCCGTGGCAGCAAGAGCCAGGGGCTCAGGGTTCCCTGTGGGCTCAAAGTCCAGAGAATCCTGAGAAAGGCCTGGTGAGGTGGCCAAGGGGCTGTCCCCAACCACCATCTCCACTCCTGAGTCCCGGGAAGCCAGTTTGAGAAGTGGCTCCTGCCTCCTGAGGCCTCTTAGCTGGCCATCCCCTTTCCAGGAGTCCAGGGAGCAAAGTTGAACAGCGTCCGGGATCCGTCTGTAGGTGCTGCTGACTCCAGGTACTACACAGCCGTGTGCCAGGTCCTCGCCAACCCCATCTGCAAGGACAGTCAGTATCAGGCTGGGCAGGCTGCCCCTAACACCCCCATCATTCCTGGAAGCTGGCAGCATTCCCAGGGGAGGAGTGTCCTGGGCCAGAAGTGAAGGGAGGGGCCAGGACTGGACAGCCACAGCCCCGCCCATATATCTCCCCATCCCTGGCTGGGAGAAGGTAGGACGGGTTCCCTGCACAAATAGTCTTTGTTAACGATCACAGACCCAGGTTATGGGCAAAGCCTTGCACGTCCTATTCATCAGCTCCTTATATGGCCGTCCTCCTTTGAGGGAGTAGCCGCTTTCTTCTGGGGAGCCCTGGTGCTCTGGCGCCCAGGGTCAGCCTAAGACCTCCAGGTCGTGAATGGGGAGCTCAGTCTCTTCAGCTACTCCCCACCGGGCAGTATGACTACGACCCTACCTCCACCTTCAGGGAGTCGGGAAAGGGCACAAAGCGGGAAGCCTGGGGTCCAAAGTAGCCTCAGGATGCAAGATGAAGTTTCTCCTAGAGCTCCCGGGAGAGAGTAATAAAATAACAACAGCTACAACCATTGTGGGCTTCTGTTCTTTTAAAGGAGAAATAGTGAAGATCCTGCGGAGGGGTGGAAAAAAGAACCCCAAACGGGAACTGGTAGGGGGTAGCGGGTAGGAGGAGAAGCAGAAGCAGCCGCAGGCCCTCCCTACCCACGCGCTGGGCCCCCAACTGTAATAATGATGCACAAACTACGGCTGGAGAGGATGGAGGGCCGCCTGCATCTCGCCGCCGGCCACGCAGGAGAGCTGGGGGCCAGGCCAGGCCCCTCCGGCCAAGGAGGTCGGCCAGGAAGTCTCCTTCGGGAACGGGTCCGCCGCCGCCGAGGAGGCTTTTGGACCTGCCGGCGGGGGCAAAGGCTAGGCGGAGAAGGATCCAGATGGGGAATTGGAAGTGGCGCCCGGAGGGAGTGGGATGGAAGGTGGTGGCTGGTTTAACGCCCAAACCCAGAGAGTCTCCAGAGTGCGAGGCGCCGGCACTCAGCGCGTCCGAAGGGCGGCGCCGAGGACCGCGCGGCGAGGCCGGGCGCCTCGGGCGGGGTGTGCGGGCTGGGGCAGGGGACACCGACCGGGGCCCGGGGCGGGAGTCGGCTCCAGGGCAGGAGGCCCGGGCCGGCCTGGGGGTGGGCGACTCACCCCGGCCGCCGAGCGGCTCCACGGCGAAGACGCGCCGCCGGCCCAGCATGGCCCAGCTCCCGGCCCCGACGCGGCGCCCCGGCCGCGGCCGCTGCAGCCGCCCCGCGATCCCGGCCCGCGTCCCCCCGCCGCTGTCGGGCGGGCGGCTCTGCACGCGCGTCCGGCCCCGGCTGGGCGCGGCCCCCGGACACTCCCGGCGGGGGCGAGGGGAAGGGGCGGGCAGGGGGGAGGGGCGCGCAGGTGTGCGGGCGGGGGGGGGGGCGCCGAGTGGGGCCGCGGGGGGCAGGGGCGGGGGCGGGGAGCCGGGCGGCGCGGGGCGCGCGGGGGAGCCGAGGAGAGGCCTGGATGTGGGGTCCTTCGGGCCCCGGCCTGTCCTACGCTCCCGCCACCCCCAGCCGAGGAACGGAGACGTCCGCCTGGGGACGCTGTCTGGCTCGAGGTGCGGGGTTACACGGCACCCCCCACTCCCGGTTCACATGCTGGTCTGTCTTCCTGCCGCCGAAACGAAGCCAGGGATGGGGGTGGAGGGTCGGCGGGGACTGGACAGCCGCGCGGAAGGAAATGCAGCCCCACGTGCTGGCTGCACGGTCGTCCCCGCGCTCCCAGCTGTGTGCCTGGGGCAAGTCCCTCAGCCATTCGGAAACCTGACGCGAAAGAAGGGGGAAATGATTCCTGTCCACATGGAAATCCTTTCCAACTGCAGAGCGCCTTGTGACTAGATCTGAATCTCCTCCTCGCCCCGTACCTCTCCCGCACCCGAGCACCCTAAAGCTGGGGCCTGGGGGGACTTCAGGATCTAGGGAAGCAGCCTGGAGGCGATGGAAGTGTAAATACTTCCCTGTCCCCCACCCCCAACCCTCTTTGGGCCTGTGGGATTCCACTGGCCCCCGCCCTCAAAGGCCCCCAGCCTGCTTTCAAGCTGGTGGCCTAGGAACTGCCGAAGGTGACACAGCCTGGTGACCAGAGGGCTGCTGGCCTCTAAGGAAACCTCATCCTCCTGAGGAAGGTGCCCGGGCTGGAAAAATCCCAGCAGGACCCAAATCCCCCGGAGGCAGATAAGGGGACTGGTGGACGTGCAAACTTGCACCTGAGCCTCTGGGGGAGGGGCTGGAACCGGAGCCCTCGGGAGGAAGCGGCTGTTAACTGGGAGGGAGAAAACAGTCTGCCCACCCCTTTCTGCTCCGAGCTCCTTCATGCCCTTCCTCAAATACCTTACACAGAAGCCTTCATCAGAGAGCCCCAAACGATCAGATTCCAACTGTAGAAGATGGGGAAACTGAGGTCTACAGCCAGGTCTGAGAAAGAATGAGAGCCAAGTGCCCGAATTACCTGCCATCTCTTAACACCTTGATTTTCAAGTCAAGCCCTTCCCTGCTAGCCAAGGGTCGTCTGGTTGCCTCCTCCTAACCCTATCCCCCTAGACAGCACCCCCACCCATTCCTCTTTCCCAGATGCAGACAGGGAAACGGAGAGCCCGGGGCCTGGCAGGAACTGCTTGATGCAGGTCCAACAGGATGTGTGGCACCAAACCCCTCAGGCAGTGTCCTCCGCCACCCCAGGCCTCCGTGGGTCGGAGTCAGAAGGCTGGCCTATCCGGTGGCTTCCTTCCCCCAAAGTGAGATGGTAGGGAGGTAAAGGGAGGGAACCTTTGTCAGATCTCGCCCTGAATTTCGAGAATGTGGGGCCAGATTCCAAGCAGTCTCCCTGGTGACTCTGGGGCAAGAATGCATCTGGAACAGGAAGCCCAGGCAGCAGGAATGTGGTGTCTCAGCACAAGGCTTTGTGTGGGCTCAAAAGAACCCCCACCCCCACCAACACACACCCAAGCACACTCCCTTCCAGGCCGTGCGCTCCGCCGCCCGCCCCGCATGTAGATGTGCCTGGGCCCTGGTGGGGTCCCTCCCTGGGGGCCACACCCTTCCCTCCCATCTGCCTTCTGCGGCCCTGATGAGAAGCGGTGTGCCCAGAGCGCCACCCAGAGGGCTCTGTAGTCCTGCATGACCACCTCCCACTCTGCCTACTACCAGAGGAGAATCCTTTCCCTTTGAGTGATGCTTGAAGCCACACCCTCGCTGCCCACCTGATGGGTGAGCAGCTGCCCTGAGTTCCTGAGACACATGGTGGCTGAGTAGAGTCATTCCCAGGGCTGAGGCCAGGAATGCCCAGCTGCCCCTCAACTCTGTGGGGGAAGTCCCAGCTTCAGGAAGCACATTTCCTGCAAGCTCAGCACTGAGCTGTGCCCTGTGGGAGGAAGGGCAAAGCCAAGAAGGCAGAGGGAAGCTCCTGCCAGAGTAGAGATGGCTGGGAGCCATGGTGACCTCCCGTGTGGCCTAGAAGGCAGCCTCTGGTGATGGAGAGCAAGAGCCCCCTACCCCATACCAGAAATTCGGGATTCAGACTCCAGGTTCCTTCCCCAGCAACCCCACCCCCACCTGCTTACCAAGTAGGAGTCCTTGGACCAGTTACTTTCCTCCCTGTCTGCAGTTTCTTCATTTATAGAACAAGGAATACCTACCAGAACTATGAGGATTAAAGCACTCAAAACGTCCGTGCTGTTAGAGTTACCTACTTTGTAACTTAGGAACTGTCACCTTCCCATCTCTAACTGAAGGGGACTATATTAGATGTGCTCTCTGGGAAATCTAAGTTGAATCTGTCATCATTTTTGAAGTTATTCCCCAAAATGTTGAAAAAAGTAAAGAGGACACAGCACTGGGTAAATTGCAGTCATAATTAGGTGGTCTCTCGGGGCGCCCAGGGTGGGGGTGGGGGGCTCTGTCCGTTGAGCGTCCGACTTTAGTTCAGGTCATGATCTTACGGTTCATGAGTTCCAACCCCACATAAGGCTCACTGCTGTCAGAACAGAACCCACTTTGGATCCTCTGTCCCCATCTCTCTGCCCCTCCCCCACCCATTCTCTCTCTCTCTCTCTCTCTCTCTCTCTCTCTCAAAAATAAACACACATTTTTAAAAATTAGGTGGTCCCCCCCCCCACTGGGTCACAGGGGTGGGTGCTCACAGCTGGCTTGGGGCGGGATTGAGGGCAGGGGTAAAAGATCAAAGATGGCCCCCAACCTTGTTTGACAAATGGGTTTGGCTAATAACTCACGTCTCCCAAAGAAGTTTGCTCCCAAGCTCAGGCTGGCTGTGTAGCCACAGAGCACTCTGAAACCCTCTGAGAGCTGCCTGTCACAACTAGAGAGGTGGATTTCAGCCTGAACCCATCCAGCCTTCGAAAGGCATTCAACAACTCACAGGCATACCCATTTCACAAGGGTCTCCATTCCCTACTTCTTCTCCTCTGCTCCTCAGAACATCGCTGGCCCCAATGTTCATATCCAAACCCACTCTTTCCAGCCTGTCACTTCCCTGCTTAAAATTTTCAAAATGTTTTCCGAACCTCAAGGTGAAGTTCAAACCATTTCTTCTGGCATTCAAAGCCACCCTCTCCCTTTCCAGTCTTCTCTTGGTACCTCCTTCAGCCACTGCCCTAAACTCAGCATTCCACCTGCACTCACCCCTGACAGTGGGCGTCTGTCTCCTGCACCTGCCCAATTCCTGGTCCTCCTTACACACAGATAGATGGCCTCTGCTCTGAACTCACAGGGCATGCCTCTATGTGCCACATCCGCTCTTAGCACTCATTTTCATGTAGTATTATTTCATTCATGCCAGCTCAGTGGCTGCCATTTGACTATTACCTTGAGGAACATCTTTCTGTATTCTTACTGTGCCAGGACCCAAGCGTTTACAGAGGGATGAATTCCCCTTTGGCCGGCATTCTCCCCGGCCATGGGCTACAACTGACACTAGGTGGCGTCAAGGAGGCTACCCCTTGAGGACCAGAGGTTCCCGCCCCACCTACTCCCGAACCACAGAAAGCCTTGAACTTTTCTATGAAAATAAAGGCAGCCATCCAGGCAAAAGGTGAGACAATTAAATCAAGGTGTAAATTATATCAACAGGTGCCTGAGGAATCAACACAAACAGTCTGCCAAGATTTCTTCCCAAAAGAACCAGATAGCACAAACACCCTCGGAAGCCCAGCTTTGATCTTTTCTGTGAAAATAAAGCTGAGGCTGTGGCCCATTCCTCAGGCTGACTGGGGAACAGCATGGGTCTGGAACACCCATGCACCCTTCTGAAATGTCCTCTGGGATTAGGGCTGGAGGTCGTGGGTGAATCAAGCCTAAAATCTGGTAGGGGACCACCGCCCCCTGCTTCAGCTCAAACATACCTGGGGGCAAGCACACCTAACACCAGCCACCCATTCTTTTTGTTCTGGGTTCTTTGTTTTTCAAACCAACTACCACTGAAGCCAGCAGAGTCTCCCAAGGAAGGGGGCACACAGACCATGCCTGGCTTGGATGTGAGGCCCTTGGTGGGGGGGTCCTTCAAGGTGGGGCTCCTCTGGTTTATGCTTCTAGGCAAGGCTAACCTACAGCCCAATTCAAGGTTATTGCTGGTGATTATCTTTCTCAAGTGGGTGCAGACAGCCTTGGTGGGTGCAGAAGGTACTCTGCATGTTGCCCCCTCTCCTGCCCACCTGACTCATCTGGCCAGGTCAGCTAGCCTGGCAGCATTCACCCCAAGTAGAGCGAGGGGCACGGAGTGCCAGCCCAGCCACTGCGGTTGGACCCTAAGATTGTCACTGAGCCCGGCCTAGACAGCATGGACATCCGGGCCTGCCTCCTCTTTGTTCCTCGCCCTCTTCATTCCTCCTTTTCTCCAGGCTCCCGGTGAGAAACTCATTCCTCTAAAGTACCAGGGATTATCCCAGTAAAACTGGCATCTTTATAAAAGGGTCCAGCAGGGGTGCCTGGCTGGCTCAGCTGCTTAAGCATCTGACTCTTGGTTTCAGCTCAGGTCATGATCTCATGGTTCATGGGATCGAGTCCCGTGTCAGGCTTTGCACTAGCAGTGCAGAGCCTGTTTGGGACTCTCTGACTCTCACTCTCTGTCTCTCTCTCTGTGCCCTTTCTACTCACACAGTCTCTGTCTCTCTCAAAATAAATAAATTTAAAATAAATGAATGAATGAGTGAATGTATGAATGAACAAAGCAAGCCTTTTCAGTAGAGGGCGTCATGTGGTGAAGCACCTGGTAAGGTTTAGGGTGGTGAGGAATAAAAGGGAAAAATTATGTCAATAGACTCTTTACCCAGTGGTAGAGAAGTTCATCCCCAGGGGCGGAGGCAGGGAAGAAGAGGAAAGAGCTACTTTGTTTCGACCATGTATATATATTTATAGAGCTCATTGCTGAAAACTTTACAGAGTGAATACCTTTAACCTCTGACCTATCCCTCTCTTTCTACATATTTATCTCTGTATCCCACCCTGCTTAACCCCTGTTGCACAATGATATGAAATGCAGGGCCCACCTCACACTTTGGTGCACAACCTCTCCTACAAGGGGAAGTGAGTGTCTAGCAGAGGCCTGGGATGGGGAGGCTGTCCTCATCCACAGCCCATCACAGGTCCCAGGCTCCAGCCTCACCCAGCCTGGAGGAAGGGACCCCACTACCCACCGCCACCCTTACATGCCAACTTGCAATTGGCATGGCCCTGGCACAGAGGTGCCCACGCAGTCGAGGGCAGGTTGAGAGCCTAGCCGGGTACTCAGGCATGGGAGCTGAGGGTGGGGGGTGAGGAGTAGCGCTGACGGGCATGCTTCTCGCAGTATAGCTCGTCTCCGACCCAGAAGTGCCCACGCATCTTCAGGTTCAGCCCACAGTCCGCACAGGTGTAGCAGCCTGGGTGGCGGTACCGCCCCTCCTGGATGCGCACAGCCTGGTTCCTGCGGGGGCAATGGAGAGGGGAGAGCCATTAGCCTGGGGGATTGCAGGGCGAGAGCATGATGCTGCCATTCTCATTCCCAGGGAGCCTAGTTCCCCACCAGTTCCTGGCCCAGAGTCAGGACCTGGAAAGATCCCCAAATCTCAGACACTGGACTCCCCAAGCCTTCCTTCAGCAATCTCGCTTCAATAACCCCCAACCACCACCTCCAGGACTTTTTTTTTTTTTTAAGTTTATTTTTGAGAGAGTGAGAGAGAGAGACAGAGCATGAGCATGTGAAGGGCAGAGAGAAAGGGAGACACAGAATCCGAAGCAGGCTCCAGGCTCTGAGCGAGCTGTCAGCACAGAGCCTAACGTGGGGTTTGAACCCACAAACCGTGAAACCATGACTGGAGCCGAAGTCAGAGGCTCAACTGACTGAGCCACCCAAGGGCCCCCAGGACTTCTAATTTAAAAAAAAAATCAGGGTGCCTAGGTGGCTCAGCCAGTTAGGCGTCCGACTTCGGCTCAGGTCATGATCTCACAGTTCATGGGTTTGAGCCCCGCATCAGGCTCTGTGCTGACAGCTCAGAGCTTGGAGCCTCCTTCGGATTCTGTGTCTCCCTTTCTCTCCGCCCCTCCCCCACTTGCTCTCTCTCTCTCTCTCTCTCTCAAAAATAAATAAATGTTAAAAAAATTTTTTTTTAATCTTTGTTTAAAAAAAAGTCATTTCTCCTTTACACAAAGACAAATACACTCCGTCCTGAATTTTCTGGGTCCTCTGTGGTCCTCTAGGTGTGGTCCCAGACACCAGGACCCCAGCATTGCTTCACCTGGGGAAGAGCTGGAAATACAAATTCTGGGGCCAGAGACCTCCTAAAGAGGAAACTCTGGGGTGCAGGCCAGCAGTCCCTCTAACAAGTCGTCAGGGGCTGTGCAGCTGCTCTTTGAGAACCACCATATACAAGGCTTTCCTTGTGTCTGCACAGCAGGCATGGATAGTATCCCATTCTGGAGCTGAAACAGTAAAGCCCACAGAGGCTACAGGATTTACCTAATGTGAGTCATCTGACCGTCAACATTGCATGTAAGAAATTTATGGCGGGGTGAGGGGGGAGTGGACTTTCAGCAGTTTTCCAGAGAATGTGGCTTCATTATAATGCCACCCAGTGAGACAAGTGAACCTACCTCTGGAAAATTCATCCCTTTCCTAAGGGGCTGAGGAAGGGGTAAGAGCAAAATTTTCCAGGAGGAGGCACTGCATCTAGAGGCAGATCTCCAGAGGTTTTGAGATTATTGCAGAGGAATCAGAAGCAGCATTTCTTACTCCTCCCAGGAGGGAAGAAGAAATCAGGGAGAAGGAGACACAGTAGGAAGAAGCTAGCAAGGCATTTTAAGAAGGCTGAAAACAGGGGCACCTGGATGGCTCAGTCAGTTAAGCGTCTGACTTCAGCTCAGGTCATGATCACATGGTTTGTGGGTTCAAGACCTGTATCGGGCTCTGTGCTGACGGCTAGCTCAGAGCCTGGAGCCTGCTTCAGATTCTGTATCTCCCTCTCCCTCTGACCCTCCCCTGCTCAAGCGCTCTCTCTCAGAAATAAATTAAAAACATAAAAAAAAGAAGGCTGAAAATCACCAGTATAACCCATCACAAAACTCCTGGGGAAACACCCCCCTCCAGGGTCCCTGACTGGTGGTTCTTTGCAGACGCCTCCGGAGGGCCCATGCCCTGCCCCACCCCGCGCCACCCTGCCAGGCTGTGCCTGCCTCCCAGGCTGCCAGCACTCACACAATGCTGGTGCTGCACTTCTCACACGTGTGGAGCTTGGGGGGAGTGGCCAGGGCCCTGGAAGTGGGCTGGGAGGCCTGGGGGCTCAGCGAGCTGGGCAGGAAGGCCGGAGTGCCACCTGGGAGGGGTGGAGACAGAGAGACACATCAGAGCTCACCCACGACCGCAGCACCCAGGCTGTATTTATACACGCACACTTACTTCTCCAGCACAGCTCAGCGGAGACTCCTAAAGCGGCTCCTATGCAGACCTCTGAAGTGACACTGAGTGTGAAGGTGGGGGGATCAGGGAGCAAGGGACTGATCGCCGCAGTGCCTTGGCTGAGGCTCAGTTAGCCCAAGCTAGGGCAACCTGAGGAATGTCTATGTGGCATCTACCCCGTCCCACTAAGCAGGCATGATATTAATTAAAAGATAGTAATAATAGATAATGACAGCGCCACAATACCTTTATAAGGTTTTCAAAGGGTTTTTATGGGCACTGTTGCATGTAAGCCTTGGAACACCACTAAGATGAAGCGCAGATGTTACTGGGGGGGTATGGTCCCTGTTTGCAGCAAGGGCTCCAGGACTCCAGCGGGGAAGTCACTGACCGTCTGTACTCCCCTCACCCCTGCAGACTCTCCCAGGGCCTGCCAAGGCCTCAGGGTCATGATGGACAAGGTCTGCTCCAAATCTTTTCACCCTGACCCCAGTGAACACCCCCGGAGCTAAATGTCAGAGTTGGAGCCAGCCACCAGATACTGTACTGGTGAGGCTGCTAATCCCGTAGTCCCGAAAGTCCCACCCTCTGCCTCCCGGAAGCCACTGCCCAGGCCAGGCTTCCTCATCTCTCCTCTGGACTAGGCCAGTGCCCCCCCAACACACACACACAGGACAACGGCAGCACTGACCTCACCTCAGGAGCTGGGTGGGCCTCTCTGTCTGCCCTCAGCCTCCATACTCCGCATACACTGACCCATCAGACAGGCACAGTAAATGTCTGTCAAATGAACAACTGAATGGCTGGCACGAGCCCATATCTTTTACTCGCTTCAGCATCTGATGCACTGCCTGGCATTATTTCACCAGCCCTCTTGGGTTAGGGCACTCCTCAGCCCGGCACATAAGGCCAGGACTTAACCTCTGAGACCAGCCTCCATTTGGCAAGGTCCCGCTGTTCTCTCACTCCCACCCCAAAGCCCTCCAGCTGCCAGCCACGGCATGCCACAGCACTCCCTGCCACCCTCTTAAGGCCACTTGTTAACATCTTGATCTTTCTTCAAGGGTTAAGTCAAATGCATCTTCCTCCACAAAGCCCACCCTGGAGACCCAGCCCCCACAGGCCCCACCACCCACCTTTTTCATTCCCCTCTGATCCCAGCCAGCACCTCTGGGTGCACCCCTACAACCCCCACCAGGTTGAAAGCTCCTTTAGTGCAGGGACTCCCCTTGGTGCCTGTTCCATGATGAGCACTTAGGAAATACGTGTTCAATATCTCTTGTGGTCAGGGTCCAGCGGTATCCTGCAGGAATCCCCTTCCTGCACCCAAGCCCCCCAGGGGCTCACCTCTTTCTTCGGCCTCCAGGGCCTCCTGCAAGAGCCGAAAGGAGCTGGACTGCCGGGGGGCCACCCGCCCCTCACGATTTTCCTGCAGCATCTTGTAGACTTCTGAGTCCTCTTCCAGAAGGCAGCTTCTCCCCTCGGAGTCCACACTGCAGAGACAGGAGCGGCAGGGAGTGAGGATCCTTTCCCTGGTATGAGAACCAGCAAGAAGGCAAGGAAAGAGTGTCCGGGGGAAGGAACTCTGAGGAAATTCAGAGGATTCAGAGGAAAGCCAAATGGGCTTAAAGTGGCCAGGGACCTCCCCCCCAACACATACATCCCTCTCTGGAAAACCAGTCTGTCTCCTGCCCCTCCCAGGCGCTCCAGGATTCCACCCCACCCTCCCGAGCCGAGCCGGCCAGTACCTGAGTCTGGGACTGGAGGAGCGGGGACCCGGGGAAGGGGGCAGCACCAGCACAGCCGAGTCACCAGCCGTGGCGCGGGTGAGGCTGGCCTGTGGGACAGAGAGGCACCAGGGGAGGAGTCAGTGGCTGGAGCCTTTTGGCCAGCACACCCGTCAGGGCTGCCAAGCCCAGCCCGGCTGTTCCCCAGGCCGGACACCAGAGGGCTCCCGGTTCTTGCTGACCAGCAGGCCCTCAGCGAGGGCCCAACACCCCAACCCACCCTCAGGGCTCGAGGGACTGCTTCTGCTCATTCCCAGAAGGAGAGAGGGGCCAGCACCCAACTATGGCGATGTGACGTTTCTGCAAGGATATTAGGCAAGGGGAGAACAAGCAGAGAGGAAGGAAGCAGAAGCTTTTGCAGTAAGAAGGAAACACAAAGGGAAGGAGTGAAGGGCCCAAGCCCCCTCTCGGAGTCAGGGATGGGGTCGCACAAGGGACCTCTCTCCTACACACACTTCCTCTCCTAAGAGGGCCCGGGGTCTGGGCTGACCAGCCTCTCCTGGCTGCCCTGGGAGGTCTGACTCTGCCGCAGGGAGCCTTAGGGGGCCAGGCTCGTTCTGGACCCGCACCCCAGTAGCAGCGCCCCCTGCCCAGGTGTGCGCTATCCATCTTGGGCTCTTTCCACTTGCTGAATACCTGGAAATCTTGCCTTCAACCTCACTGTTGCTCTGCTTTCTGGCCTGCACCTCTGCTCCCTCCCCTTCTACCTTTCCCTCTGTCCCTTGCCATCCCCCACGGAAAGGGGAGCCTCAGAGACAACCAGACAGGCCACCGGGCACTAGCTGAGGGCACATTTCCCTGGAAAGCCAACTTCCTTCCATTTTAAAATTCAAAATCAAGGACAAGTTATGGGGTCAACTGATACAACTGCATGGATTTTAAAGCTAAAAACAGAAACCTCGGAGTTTTGAGAAGAAAGCCCTAGGCCCTCACTCCCCCCACCCCCTTCCACCAGTCTACATTCCTCTTACACGTGGTGGCATGCGGTTACCTGACAGAGGGTAAAATAGTTTCCTCAGGAAGGACAGTCAGCACCAGTTACTTAAGAACGACATCCCATCCCACTGTCCTCAGCCAGCATGTGCTCTGCAGTGGGGGGGGAGGCAGCTCGCTGGGAGAAATCTGCCCAGGCTTCCTCTGTAAGCCAAATTCTCATGCCAGCCAGAGTGACGGGTGCTGTCTTCACATCTGCTCGTCAAGGCGTGTACCCACCCAGAGGTGACAACTTCCAGTTTCCAGAAGGGTACCATGAAGGCTGGTGGTGTCCTGTGCCTTGGGCTCAGTGCAGCCTCAGCCAGCTCGAAAGCCAGCAGCAAGGTCACGGCCACACCATACACATCATCCATAGTCATCTCTAACTCCCTTCCTCCCTTCAGACGGCTCTGCCCTGGTGGAGAGGAGCCCAACTCCCTTACTGGGTGGGAGCAGCTCCATCTCTTTCCTCCCTCCCTCCAGGGACACCTGCCTGCACAAAAGGAACCTTTCATCTCCAAGTCCAGAAAAGCTGCTCATCTGCCCATCCAGAGCTCATCTGTGGCCAACACCTCTCAAAATGTGTTCTGGTGAACACAGGGATGTTAATAAGTGAGTGGCAGGTTGGGAGAGGGGTTGCCAGGAGAAATTCTATAGTTAAACAAGTTGAGACAATTAATAAAATTAAATCTGTTTCTCATGGGACTTCTTAGAGTCTTTAAGGTGCTACAAGTACACAGTGACTCCCAAGAGGGAGGTACGGGACCCTGGGGTTCCCATGCCATCTGGCCACAGCCTCATTGATAGACCAGAATGCAAACTTCACTGGGGTAGGAATATCTTCACTGGGTTATCCACCAATGCATCCCCAGAGCCTGGAAAGGGTGCCTGACACAAATCAACTGCTCAATAAAAATTTGTTGAAGGAATGGCCTCGGAGCCAAACAAGGGAATCTGGCACATGGGGACTGAGGCCCCGAGAAAGAGAGGCTTATCCGAGGTTAGATGGTAGAGGTAGCACTAACCCAAGTCTCCCTGCCACCGGCCCCAGGGCTCCCGTTTATGCCACATGGGTGGTCCTCAAATCTTTGCAGGCATCAGATCCCTGAAGGCTCCTTAAAACACAGACTGGTCCCCTGTCCACACCCTCGGACCCCTGCATCTGAGTCAGTAAGTCCAGGCTGATGCCTGGGAATCTGCATTTCTAACAGGTTCCAAGGTACTGCTGCTGTACCACCAGCATCTCCCCCCTTGCCCAAGTTTGGGACACCACAAGGAGGAAGGCCAAGATGGACGGGCCCTTTCCAGCCATGCCCTGGGCCAAGCACATTCCCAACTGGTCTCAGCCCAAAGATCTCCCAGAGAAGCCCCCCCTCCCCCATCCCCGCCCAGGGCCCAAACACGCCAGGTCTTGCTTACACACTGCTTTCCCGTCTCCCTGGCTTATCATTCTCTAATCTAAACCCTACCCAGTCCTACCTCTGACGTCCAGCAAAATTCCTGACAAAGCCTTCTCAGGCCACCCAGCCCACATTCGTCTCTCCCCTCCCAGAATGCCTCCCGCTTTTATAATTAAGACCACACTGTTTGGTGCTTAATTGTTCCAAAACTGCTTTACATGTTTGTCTTATCTCCCCAACTACATTTTAAATTCTTTAAAGATGGGGATCTTACTGAACGCATTTCTATGCCCACATTGCCTGGCAGGCCACCTGGTGGGTCCATAGCAGGCCATTGGGGTGCCCCTAGTGTGCAGCCCCCTGTGGAGCCCACTCCTTCCTTCTCCAGAGCCCCCAGTTTCTAATGCCCTCCCCCAGCCATCTCCAAAGGCTCTGCTTTCTGGAATGCAGAATCAACCGGAGGTAGGATTCCAGCAGCTGGGCCTCATCTCTTTCACCCCAAAGGCTGGACATGCCCCCCACCAACTCTGCCCCCAGCAGCTGTGGCCCAGGACTGTTGGCCGACTCACTCCCTCACTTCCTCACCACCCCTGCCCTTAGAGAGGAGAAATACCAAGGGGGGGAGGGGGGAGGGAGGCTGTCACTAGTTCACAGTGGGACCTGGGGGGGGACACCCAGGGTAGAAGGGCAGGGAGAGGGGCAGACAGAGAGTAAGCCAAGTACAACTTGAGGCAGAACCACAGTCCCGCTGGTGGTTCTCGGGGCTGAGTCAGACAAGGAGGAAGGGGGATGGGGTGATGGGAGTTGGGGGCAGGCATGGGGCTTGGAATGGGGAGGAATGTGTTCAAGAGATGCAGCCAGAGCCAAAGGGAACCATCCCAACAACAGCAGCAAAACTATTTCAGCCCTGGCCCAAGAGAAACAGTCAGGAAGGGAGGAAGCGAGCAGGAGGGGGAGGCAGCAAGTGGGAGGACAAGAGGTAGAAGGCCACCTGGGACTGGCAGGGCAGGACCCGGGCGCAGGAAGTGTGGCCCACCACCAGACACAGTGGCCTCCTGGCTCAGGAGAGGGGCATGCTTGTTGCTAGGAGATGAGGCGCTGGTTGCCCAGGTGGGACCAGCCATCTGCAGCCGGATGGGTGGATCTCTCCGCCCCCACCGGGCATCCTCACCGGTCGGCTTCCGGGGTGGCCCCCGTAGGAAAAGCGGTCAGCAGCAGCCGGTCCCGGAGAGTGTGCCAGGCTCTGGAAACTGAAATGGGGGAAATGGACCGTGTGTGCACCGGGCGTCCCACCCACCCTGCCTCAGGGAGACGGAGGGTGCCCTCAGCTCCCCTTAACCCAGCTACTCAGGCTGGAAGGCCTCGCCCGCACCGTGTGGCCACATGCCCGCCCCCTGGGCTCACCTGCGGCTGACAACAGCCTCTCCAGTGAGGGCCTGCTGGCTGGTGGGGGACAGGGTGAAGGGGCTGCCCGGCTGGGGGCTGGAGAAGACTGGGCTGGAGCAGGAAGACGGCAGGGAGGACTGGCTGTCAGTGTGTGTCCTCATGGGGCCCTGTGGAGAGAAGGACTGAGAAGCGGGCACCCGACCCCTAGGCCTTGCCCCTCAGGTCCCCCCCACTCCAGGGTGCTGGAGTTCCCAGCAGAAGGCACCACCCTACCTGGAAGCGAGTCGCCAGCCCTTCCACAGAGCTTTCCCCATTGGTCTGCAGGGGGGAAGCAGCCCGAGACCTGAGGAGAGGGCCGGGGGGAGGCAAGTCACAGGGGTCCTGGCCCCCCACTACAGGGCTAAGCACTGTAGACTGCAGTTGTTCCCACAAGATTCTAAAGACTAGTAAAATGTTCAAAACATTTGGACACCAGGCTGTCAACTTTCAACTTTGCCAAATTCAAAACAAACAACCATTGTTAACAACTACCAACATTTCTCAAAGGAATGGACAGTTTAGCATCAGTATGTAGAATTTCAGCAAAAAGTTCAATAAATTCAATTTTATTAAAAACTCCTCCTATTACCCCTTCTCTTTCTCTTTCTTTTCTTTTTTTAAAAATTTATTTATTTATTTTGAGAGGGAGGGTGCAGGCAGGGGAGGGGCAGAGAGAGAGAAAGGAAGAGAGAATCCCAAGCAGGCGCCATAGGCACTGTCAGCGGGGTTCAAACACATGAACTGTGAGACCATGACCTGAGCCATAATCAAGAGTTCAGACATTTACTGACTGAGCCACCCCGGTGCCCCCCCCTTTTTTTAAAGTAATCTCTATGCCCAACGTGGGGCTCAAACTCACACCCCCGAGATGAAGAGTCATATGCTCCACTGACTGAGCCAGTCAGGTGCCCCTCTTTTTACTTCTTTTCCTTTCTTTCTTTTTTTTTTTTTTTTTTTGGCATTTCATCCAGACTTTGTCATTGGTCATCATCAGCTTGTAGATCAATTTTGGGAGAGATTGCTCATTTCAGATGAATAATTCTTTATCTTTCACCCATGGAGAAACTTAAGCCTAGAGAGGGCAAGGGACTTTCCTAAAGCCCAGCAATGGCTGGGCCAGCTGCCCCCTCTCCTCTGCCCAGCCGGAGACTGTCCAACACCAGCTTTGCGGCTGATGGTGGGAATACCTTGGAGAGGATCATTCCTGGTCCCTTCTTCTTCTTCATTTTTTTTAAATTAATTAATTTATTCTTGAGAGAGAGAGAGAGAGAGACAGAGAGAGAGAGAGAGAGGATGTGTGCTGCATGAGAGAGGACAGAGAGAGAGAGAACAAAAGAGAGAGAATCCCAAGCAGACTCCAAATCGTCAGTGCAGAGCCTGATGCAGGGCTTGAACTCATGAACTGTGAGATCATGATCTGAGCCAAAATCAAGAGTCAGATACCTAACTGACTGAGGCACCCAGATGCCCCATGGTCCCTTCTGAACACTTCTCCATCAAATGAAGGGTGGAGCAGCCCCCTTCCTGCACGACCTGGAGAGCCAGGGCAACAAGCAGGCCTAGCCGTTCACCAAGCACCAAGGCCGCCAGCAAGAGAAGAACCCCGGGAGACCCTCTCCAAAGCCCTTCCCACCAGTGCCTTGAACAGGAGGACACTGGAGGGCTGGGATGCGCTGAGGGTGGAGAAAGAGCCTGCCGTGTCCCACCCCCACTATACGGTTCCTGGTTATCTGGCCACTTCTAGAGAGGTCAACAAGAGCCTCAGTCACCACACACCACACCAGCCTCAGCCTCCCCAGGGAGGGGGGTGTGGGATCAAAGTGAAGGGAGCTCGGGCCTTGGCTCCAGTCCAGAGCACCGCTTCCTGCCACAGAGCTCTAGGTGCTCAAGAGGCCTGCTGAGGTGGGGGATACTAGAAGGGCTTAGGAGCAGGCCAGGCAAGGGAAAGAAGATGCACAGAGTCTTGACCCGGCCAACATGGAGCTGGAGGCTCTGAGGGACTCAGCCAGGCCCACTCCCTGATGGGCCTGGGTCCCTCTAAGAGGGACCTGAGAGGAAGTGGTGGTGTCGGCAGTTCCCTGCCCCTCCCCAACCCCTCTCTGCAGTCTCTTGTAGATTTTGGTCCCCTTCCAGTTGCCATGAGGTACTGCTCTCCACCCTCCTTGTCTGGGTCCCAGTCCTGCAAACACTCATGAGTCTGAGTGGCCTGAGGGAGTCACTGAAGGTGCCGGGGCATTGTGGGAGCCAGCTTCTACAGCACTGCGGGACAGTAGAGGTGAGGAGAGGGCATGGAGCCAGGGCCCAGAGAGAGTGGGAGAGGGAGGGCAGCAGAGAGGCAAGAGGTATCTGACTCAACTTCAAGGCCCGCCCTGAGGGTTCTCCTGGCTGGGGGATCTCCCAGCATTCCTGCCCTGTGACTCACTGTGATGCCCCACCCCAGGGAGCCACCTGTTCCCCCCACCCCCCAACCCAGGCCTCTGGGCTGAAAACCCAAGCCTGGGAATCTGCCTTCACCAGCACAGCCTGGAGAAGCAATGGGGAGGGACAGAAGGATTCTGTGGGGAGTGAGCCCCCAAACCCCTCAACCTACACCCCAGGATCTGAGCAAAGACTGCCCCCTCTTGGAGGCAGGGGCCCAGGAGACCCAGCCTAAGGCACACCTTTCCCCTCTTCAACCCACTTCATGCCCACACCCTGTACTCTGCACACTTGGGAACCAGTCAAACCCGGGCATCCAGGTGGCTGATACCAGTCTGCCCTGCCCACGGCTGCATGCCCAGCCAGGTACAGGGACACCCCTCAGCCCACCCTGCCGTAGGTCCAGAGCCCAGACCTTCCACAGATGAGCCGGAAGGGCCCAGGAAGGCCAGGCTGGGGCTGAGAGCAGGGGGTGAGGGCAGCCGCTGTGTAGCAGGCTGGCAGAGGGGAGGCGAATGCTGGCAGGTCCAGCAGAGGTGGAGGGCCTACCGGTCTAGCTGCAGCCGCAGGGGTGAGGGGCTCTGGCGGATCTTGCTCTGGGCCTCAGCATGAAGCATACCCTCGGCACTCTCCCCGTTGATGGCCACGATAATGTCTCCAGGCCGGAGGTCAGCAGCCTCAGCCTTGCTTCTCTCAGTTACCTGAAGGGGATGAGGAGCGAGTGGCCTGAGCCCCCCCCCCCCCACCCCGGGACAGTGATGACTTTCACATAGGGATGGAGGAGAGGGGATGTCTCTCTGTCCTGCCCAAGAAACACAAAAGCAGGTCTGAACCAGGCTGGCCTGTGTCCCCCTTTGTCTCTGCACAGCAGTGCCTGCCCAGCTCAGCAGCTAATCCCCTCCAAAAGCTGTAGTGGAACCCCACCCCCCAGCCCAGCTCTGACACTCTAACAGGGGCCTCCAGAAGAAATGGCGGAGTTTCAGGGACTGTGCTTGGACATACTTTTGGATAGAGAGCCCTGCCCGTGCACATCACGCCATGCAGGTGGCTGCCTGCACACGGGCCTTTGGCATGAATGCTCCCTGGCCTGGGCCTGGGTCAAGAGGAAACTGCTAAGCACTCAGGGCTCCTGTGCCCGTAACCTCCCCAGATGGCTGCCAGCAGGTATGGGGTAGGTGACCAAGGAGAAAAGAGCAGACCCTGGGCTTGGCTCCCTTTCACTCCCTAGAAGTCTGTTCCTAAAGAGGTCACCACATCCCCAGGGCAACAGGGCCCCGGTCCTCCCCAGGCTAACACTCCCAGAAGCAGGACCTATGGCTCCAGAATTAAGAAAGTAAGGTGCCTGTGGGGAACAGGTAGACAGGGTAGAGCCTAACTTTGGGGGTACCTCCTTAGCTCCTCGAATTAGCCCTTACCTTCGTCACCATGATAGGCGTGTGGAAATCCCTGCCCCCAGTGATCCGGAAGCCCCAGGGCCCTGGCCCCACCACATCCACTGTTAGTGCCATATCTGAGGAAGAAGGGATGGAGACACTGTAAGGTGGCAGGGGAGGCAAAAGGGAGGGGATGACAGGTCCAGGGAGCAGCCAGTCAGGGGCTGGGGGGTGGGGAGTGAAGAGGAGGGTAGAGGAAGTGACTAACTCCCTCCCTCATCCCCCAGTTTCACTTCCTCCCACCCTGGGAAGCTGTGACTCTGAGTTCCCCCTTCTCTGCCACCATCTTCAGCAAAGTGACTCCCCAAAGGCAGGCTGCGAGGGTGCCTCCCAGGGGCTTGCTGAAGAAGGGGCGGCAGGAGCGGCAGGGGCTGGCAGGTGGTAGATTGTCATCTTGTCATCGTTTCCTGCCTCTGCCCCTCCCCCACCAGCAAGGTTAAGTCCCACCAGTGCTAGCTTCCTGTCCCCAAAACTAACTGCACAAGGTACTTCCTCCCCACTCTGGGGGAGGGCAGCACTCGGGGAACCAGAGTGACAGCAAACAAGGAGGTGATGCCACCACAGACTGTTCCAGTAGGTGGCTGGATGGGGACTGGCTCAAGGTCTTCAGAGGGGCCTCCTGGCTGCCCGTCTGGCCCCTGGCAATGTGGTCCAGGTAGGCAAGACTGGGCTTCCCACCTCCTCCAGGGGCCTGCTGCCCTCAACAGCCCCGGCCAGAAGGATGGACTCATCTGCCACGTTGGGCACACCCACCCCCTGGCAATGGCCAGCAAGCTGAGCTGACTGATGCCACCTCCTAGCTGGGGCCACAGGCCTCCCATCTACTGCCCACTCCGCTAGGCAAGGGAGTGTCCTTGCAGACCCAGCCCTTGTAGGATTTCCTGAGCCTCTAGTTATGGAGCCAGGAGCCAACCCAGGCAGGAAGCTGCAATGCCAGCCTGGGCCACCACCCTGCCCAACACCCACCCTGGGGCTGCCCCTGGGGAGGCCCAGAGACTGCAAGTGCTGTCAGTCAACATCAAGAACATTAGGGCCCCTTCCAGTGTTTAGGAACCTGGGGAGAGGAGGCCGAAGCAAGAGGGGCTGTCCGCCCTCTCCCCGGCCGTTGGCTTCCCCTTTTGCCCAGGACTAGCCCCTGACCCTGCCTAGGTCCCCAGGTTGGCGCTGGCGGTTCATAGACGCTTTGGATTCTCAGACCTTTGAGCCTGCCTGTGGACTCCGCGCCCGGGGCCCCGCGGAGGTGCCCAGCCGTCAGCTCGGCTCTCCCAGTTCTGGCACCTTCTACGCTCCGAGGCAAAGTACCACGCGCGGGGGGCCGCAGGAGGAGCGCCCGGGACCAGGAAAGCCCAGCACGCGGGGCGCAGCAGTGTCTAGGAGAGGTCCGGGGAGAGAAGCCGTGGGCGGAGGAAAGAGCCGGGCGCAGAAAACTGCGCAGAGGGGACGCGGCCGCGCAGAGCTGCGGAGCTTCCCGAAGCTCGTCGGCCGTGCGGAAGGTGCGCAGGTGGGCGCGCTCACCTGGCTCCCGCTCACCTGGCTCCCTCTCACTCGTCGGGCTGGGCGGCCGGGCCCGGTAGGGAAGGGAAGGAGGGAAGGTGCGGAGACACCGCCGCTCCCGCCGCCGCCGCTGCCGCCGTCTGCCCGACTCTGGGGAGAGCCCGCCCGGGGCTCCAGGACCTGCCTCCGCCCATGTGATCCCGGGGCCGCCCCTGCCGCCGCCCCTGGCCGGGGAGGCCGCCTCCTCCGCGCAGCCCAGCCCCGGCGCTGCCACCTGGCCCGCGCCCTGCTGGGGGTGGGCGCGGTTGGGGGGGAGGGTCTCTCCTTAGAGCCCCCTGCAGACTGCGGTCTTCCTCTCCGCGGTGCCCCCTGAGGGCGCCCGGGAGGCGTTCCGGTGACGGGTCGCGAGTCCCACTTCGCCAACAGCTGAGACTGGCGCCCCCCTGAAGCTTCCCCAGGATGGCCGCGCCCACCCGCCTTCGAAGGGGCCCTCGAGCACCCCCACACCCGGGGCCCGGGCGGGGGAGGGCCGACTGGGTCTGTCTGCGGTCCGCTTGGCTCCTCCGCCCACTCCCGGCTCCGACACTGGCGCAGATGCATCCCCGACACCCACGGATCCCCAGCCGGGGCCGCCGCTCCGACCTCCTGAACTCCGTTCCCCAACGGCCGGCGGGCTCGCCAGTCGGTGACCGCGGACTGCTGGGGTTTTCGGGCTGCCAAGAGTTTCCCTGCTTGAGATGCCCCGCAAGCCCGCTCCGCTCAGGGAGACGTTCCAGGCCAGAGAGATGGAGAGACTCCCGGCTGGCGCGCGCTGGGCACTCTCCTGGGCTGATGCTCTTTCCATTTGTAGCTGCCCTCCCCTCACCCTCTCTGCTGCCCTGCCTGGGGTGGGCCAGCCCCAACAGTCACCACTGGCCTTCGCTAGCCCTCTGCCAACCGCCTGGAACCCAGGCCCTAGGGATCCGGAGAGGACAGCCAAAGAAAGGCCCCAGGAACCAGCTCAGTACCATCTGGCAAATGGTTCCCCAGAGCCATACCTGGCAGACCTCAGGGCCCACCAGAGCTGGCTCTGGCATCTCCCATTGGCCTCCAGTCTGCACTCTCTTTGTCAGGCTGGTCTGTTTGCAGGGAAGCACACCTGTGGGCACAGCTGTAACTTGCCTGCCTCAGGTGTGAGTCATTCCCTCCAAGTTCCCTCTGCAAGGAGTGCCCTCACCACCCTTCTCACCAACCTATGCCCTGTGTCCCATCCTCCCACTACACTCACAGACCCAGAGACTCTAGCCCTCCCTCCCACAGCCTTTGTTCTCAATGCCTGTAAGCGCTCTCCTACCAATCAGTCCAGGGCCTCCTGGAATGATCACTTTGCCTGGCATGTCTGCTCTACCTCCCCAGCTAGACTGGAAGCCCTTCAGGGAGCAGGCAGCTGCAGGACAGGCAAGCACAGCCGTGGGGGCACACAGACCTAGCCTCAAATGCCAGATCTGCCTCTTATTGTGGGGCTTGGGGTAATTTCCTCAGGTTCCCCACAGGTAAAAAGAGCACAATGCATAGCCTCGTGCTGTGTAGACTACCCCCTCATATAAAGCTGCTGGCTTGCAGGTTCCTCTTAGGGCAGGGTGGGGGGACTGGTTCACTGCTCCATTCCCAGAGCCTAGCACAGTGCCTGGCACACAGTAGGCATTCCGTAGATATTAAGTGAATATTGTTTGAAGTGACTGAATGGGTTAATTTCCCTTCCTTCACCCCCAATTTGTGTCAGGGCCTGTTTTGTACCTCTTTGTGCTCCTGACTTTGCCCTAGTCTCTAGAAACATCTACAGGTTAATCTACAGGATTTCTGCTCTGTGGGCCGTGCATTTACAAAACTCATGACAAAGAGTCGTCTGACCCAGGGACAGGATCCTGTGGAACAGAAGGGAGTACTGTCCTGCTCTAAGCAACTCGGTGGCCCTGGGCAAGTCATGCAGCTCACCTCTCTAATGGCATGAGCATCCCCAGTGGCCTACAGCCCTCTCTGACTCTGACTCCGCAGGTCCCCCTCACCCCTCAGGCCTGTGATCCTCCCTTCACCTCCTGCCTCACCCCAGGTCAAGGCACAGAAGTGGTCATTGTACAGGCAGGGCTGTCATGGCAGGCAGCCCAAGGGCGTAGGGTTGGCCTGCTGCGGAGGTTTCAGGGATCCATCAGAGGGTGTGGATTTGGTTTCTGCCCCAGGGAAAGGAAGTCACAACCCTGATGTCTTTGATGAGGGCATCAGGGAATGTGGAGAAGCTGGGGCAGGGGATGAGGACCAGGCCAGTGGGTTCCTGGAGAAGAGTCATTTCCACGAGAGGGTCTGGACCTGCCAACTTAGAAGCAGATCGTGGTGAGGACTGGGGTGGACAGAACAGATGGTGTGTATGTAGGTCTTGTTCTTCCAGCTGCTGTTTAACCAGCATTGGGGCCCAGGCCACTCCCAGGCTATGGCCCTGTCATTCACAGGTGTCCCCCACCCCTGTCCTGACAGAGCCGAGGCACCACCACCTCTTCCCACCCACAGGCCTGGAAGACAGGATTGCCAGGAAGTATATAAAGGAGGCCTGACCTGGGGAGGGCCCCGGGGAAGTCCTTGACTTTGTGCATAACCTTTCTCCTCTGGGACAAGGGCTGCCTGGGCACTGGTACACTTTGTACAGAGAGGTGGCAAGAATCATTGGATCTGACTTCACATTTTATAATGATATGGCCCAGACAACTTAATTTCTCAGCCTCAGTCTCTTGTCCCATAAAATGGAATCATATACTTGTCACCGAGACGCTTATGTCAGAGCATACACGTGTAGCACCGCATGCCCTGCTCAACTCCCAGCAGCTGCCAAGGGCTGTACTTCCCTTTCTTGGCAGAGCAGCCAGGCCCAGACTGTGCCACTGCTGTCGCCCTGCAGGATCCACCGGGCCCCAGGACTCTGAAACCTTGGGCGAGAACAACTGCTCTGGCTAAGCTGTGCCCCACCACTCCCAGCTTCCCACAATCGATTGCTCAAAAGCCCGAGCTCAAAGAAAGTAAACAAACATGTGAGAGCTTCGGTGTGGAAATGAAGCACACAGAAGGAAAACATTAGGAGGAGAACAGCTAGAAATGTCATCTAGCCCAGCAACCCCATGGCCACTCTGGAATCAAAACAGCCTGCACACAAGGCCACATTCAGCTCCCATCTCTGGTTTCTCCCCACACTCAGGCCTCGCCCTGGGCCCTGTGACGTGAGTTCTCTCTCAGCGCTGGTCTGCTCGTCAGACCTCCATCTGATCCTGGGGGCTGCCCCATTCTGCCTGAGGCCTGGGGGCTGAGATCTTTAGAGATAATGATGGTACTTTTCCAGCCTCCCCTTGCACACACACACTCAGCATCCCACCTGGTTCCCAGCACAGCCGACTGCAGAAAGAATTCCCACAACCCCAAGCAGAGGAGCCCTCTCCCGCCCAGAAGGAAAAGGACTGGCAAGGTCCCTGGTATCCAGATTTATTTTACATCCTCTTCCAGGGGGGACTTGGGGGCTGGAGGAGCTGGGGAGGCAGGCGGACAGCACACATCAGTTCTCCAGGAAAACACTTGGAGTAGGCCAGTCGTCGGAGGCCCAGCCCTTCCTGGGCACTGCAGCCGCAGGATGGCACGCACAGCCCAGGCCCAGGGCTTGGCGGCCTTTGGGAAGAGGGTGCCTTCGGGCAAGACCTCTCACCAGGCCTTGGGCACTGAGGAGGTGCTGGGTCCCTCTCCCACCTCACTCCCAAGCCCAGCTGGAAGCAGGAAGGCAAAGGGGGCGGCAGGCAAGCCGGGCTGAAAGAGGAGGACTGTCCTCCAGGCAGAGGCGGCCTTTGGTCTCTGTTAGGTTAGGAAGCTGGTCCTTGTTAGAGGAACCCCATGGGGGTGAAGCCGGGAGCTGGTCCCTGTTAGAGGAAACGCCATAGCAGGGCGGGGTGGGGGGGCTCTGGGGTCTGGTCTCAATAAGGCCTGGAAACAGTCTCCACTTCAAAGCAGACCTCTATATTTGGGGAGTGGGGTAGGGGAGGAAATAAAAAGGCTGTTGGAGGAATGTTTGTGAGTTGTGGGTGGGAAGCAGTCCAGGGGGCTTCGAGGGGGCTCCAAAGAATGGCTGCTGGGGTTGTCTGCGGATGCCAGCAGCTCAGGTCCTGGGGAAGGAGGATGGGGGTGGGGGTCCTCTCTCCCTCCTGTAAGTGCCACTGCTCCCCACCCCATCCTGGCTCGCCTCTGAGTTGCCACGGAGACCACTCACACCGGAGCTACATAATTTCCAGGGAATGTCCCAAATTTCTGGGTCCTCCGGGAGACACCTGAAAGAGAAAAAGAGAAAAGGCATTTCCCCCCAGACTTCTTTATTTGCTAGGAACGTAGGGGTGCGGGACCTCCTCCCTACTGGCAGTGCCGGGAGCTGCAGGTGGAGTCCCTGTCCCAGGGATGAAGGATGTGCTTTCCTCATTTCTGCCCCCTAGTGGGCAGCTGGGCAAAACTACACTTCCTAAATTCAATGACTGAATTTGAGTACTCTGTAGTGTATAACTTTGCACACAGCATTGAATTACCCAAAATTCCTCAGGAAAGTAAGGAAGCAGGAGGATGAATTCAGAGCTTAAATATGAGATTTAGCAGACCTTAAATCTGGAGGAAACTCACTGCTCTCACCTTCAATTTATTTTTAGAGAAAATTTCTTTTTAATTTTCTTAATGTTTATTTTTTGAGAGAGAGTTAGAGTGCAAACATGGGAAGAACAGAGAGAGAGGGAAACATAGAATCCGAAGCAGGCTCCAGGCTCTGAGCTGTCAGCACAGAGCCTGACATGGGGCTCAAACCCACAGACCATGAGATCATGACCTGAGCCAAAGTCAGATACTTAGCTGACTGAGCCACCAAGGTGCCCCTAAAAACAACTTTTTTAATATGTATTTATTTTTGAGAGAGAGAGTGAGAGAGACAGAGAGTGAGCAGGGGAGGGGCAGAGAGAGAGGGAGACACAGAATCCAAAGCAGGCGCCAGGCTCTGAGCTGTCAGCACAGAGCCCGACATGGGACTCAAACTCACAAACCTTGAGATCATGACCTGAGCCGAAGTCGGATGCTTAACTGACTGAGCCACCCATGTGCCCCACCACCTTCAATTTATTTTT